GAATGTCATTCCTCTAAATCACTCAAATTAGTCCGTGAAATTATAATTCGTCCAATCCATTTAAGTTTGGGCTAGTTAATGACTCAGTACCCATCTAAGATTTGGGCTTGAAATTATCGATGTGAATTCTTGTTACAATATTTTTGAAAGACATTATTTTTGTTTGATATCTTATTTATAGACAGCATAAAGAAAATTTTGTTAGGTACTAAAACAAACAGTAAGAAAACAATTTTTTTTTATAGCAAGGATTATGTGAGTGGGGTTATGGCTGTTATTTAGCCCATTTCAATCTAACATGTAGCCCAATGACTAGGTGTGTCAATGGGTTTGGATTGCCTAAGCCCGCAAAACTTTTAATCCACTTGGGTGCACTTAAAATAAAAACAGTGAAATCGAGCAGTAGTTGAATTCAAATCTTGATCTAGCGAATGGTTTCTCTAGCCTGTACCAACAGCACAAGGATATTTTCATGGGTGCACTTTTAATCATATCATACTAGATATACGTATTTTTTTTTATCGAAGTCGATGGATGCGCATGCACCCCACCAAATCATGTGGGTCCGCCTCAGGTAAAGACAGTTTCAAGGGTATGTTTTGTTTGAGTCCAAAAACAAATGTTAAGGATATTTTTAGATTCAAAAGTAGAAGAAGGGTATACTCAAACTCGTATAAACTTAACCTTCGGTCAACGTTTCAACTTTAACACATGAAAAAAAGATAATAATAAAGGCCTAAAATATCTTTCAACTATTTAGACCGATATAAAATTATCCTCTGTCCACCTTTCGATCCTCAAATATTCTGAGCGTTAACGGTGCGTTACTAAAATAGTAACAAGATGATGATTTTTAGTCCAACTTCTACACACTATATTATTATTTTTTTGTCTCTTGCTCTTGTAATTTTGTAGATTAGCAAAGAAGAATGAGAAACAAAATTCCTTTTTAAGAATAAGATAAACACATGACAAAAGTGAAGTAGATTCAATCAAGACATTGGCAAAGAGAAAAGAGAAAAGTTGAGTGCATGGCGGCAGACAAGCACGAAACACTTATAACTTTCTTTGCACGTACATAGTACAACATTTCTCATTCCCCAACACTTTCAACTCCCCATTTATAACGGTTCCACACCACCCCCATTCACTTCCAACTTCAATACATCTCTGTCTTTCAAAAATAGTCATTATCGTAAATTTAAAATTACACATGTGATGCTCTATTCTCACTATTTATGAATCTTATCTGAATAATTTACATGTATAGTGCGATTTTTCGATATGAATGTGAATTAATTGAACTTAGTGGAATATAATATAATATAATATAATATGCTTAAGGATGTGTTTGGTGGGTAGGAAAATAAGTTTCTTCAAAATGAGGAAAATGACGGTATCTTCTCTGCCCTCCAACAATATCCTATCCCTACCCCGTCATAGCCGCCATGTATAATATTTACGTAGATTATATGGTTGGAGGGCGAAGAAGATACAAATATTTCTAAAATAATATTTTTAATATTTACCCACACTTCCACCTTCTATAATATTTACGTAGATTATATACAAATTTTCCTTAAAACAATATTTTTAATCTACAAATATTTCTAAAATAAAATTTTCTAATTATATATAAAACCCAAAAAATACTTATACAAAAGAATCACTATACTTTATAGAAAAGTATTCTCCAAAAAGAATATTTTTATGATGAAAAGTATTTTCCTAATTCTTACCAATTAACACACTCTAAATGAAAAAGAAAATGAGATGAACATGCATATATAGTCGGTGCTAAGTGGTGTGTAGCCATAGGTACTTCGCTGAAAAATGATACTATGTATTCAAAATTACATAAAATATATAAGTTAAAAATTATTTTCATATACATGTAATAGATTTTAAACATCTTTAATGAAATTTCTGATTTTGTTGTTACGAGGATGCTACTATATTATTGTTGATGAATTTTAAGAGAATTTTTCAAAATATTTTTCAATAATTTCGAGATCCTAGTACTCATAACTTGCACTGACACATGGATCATCACAACTTTTCACAAAAAAAAAAAAAAAACTTTATCATTGGAATTCATGCAAATAAACTTGGTCCCCTTTTGTAAATGTACACACTTCATTTGTTAACGTAAATTTGAAGGTAAAAATTTGGACTACTAGTCTTGTGCTTTGACTTGGGATTTGTTCAAACGTGGAAAGTTATTGGTATTTGTAACATATGTTTTTGACTTCTATATCCTTCATATTATAAAGATCACTTTATATTCATTCATTCTCTTGTCTTTAAATGCTTCAAAAAACAAACATACCCCTTCCAAAAAATTAAGTTAGTTAACAACAATATGTTGGTACCTAGTAGGATTTAAATTTTCAAAAAAAAAAAAAAAAAAACTTTATCATTGGAATTCATGCAAATAAACTTGGTCCCCTTTTGTAAATGTACACACTTCATTTGTTAACGTAAATTTGAAGGTAAAAATTTGGACTACTAGTCTTGTGCTTTGACTTGGGATTTGTTCAAACGTGGAAAGTTATTGGTATTTGTAACATATGTTTTTGACTTCTATATCCTTCATATTATAAAGATCACTTTATATTCATTCATTCTCTTGTCTTTAAATGCTTCAAAAAACAAACATACCCCTTCCAAAAAATTAAGTTAGTTAACAACAATATGTTGGTACCTAGTAGGATTTTAAGCTTACTACTAATCCTAATCTTAATTGCTCAAATTCTGCCAAACACAAGTTCTTACCAAGGTATGTATCATTAATTAACTAATATTCTATGCTTCAATGACTTATACTACTAGAAATAAAGTTTTTTTTCATCGCAAATCAGTGGGAAATATGTGCGATAACATATGGTTTTTTGTCCACTCATTTTCCATCGAATAAGCTCAAAAGGAAAGTTCATGGTGAAAAACATATTCTCATTGAAATAGTGAGAAACTTTCTAATTTTTCCATATGAAAATATTACTATTTTTTCTTGTCTCACCGATTCAATTTGAATATGCGTGGAACTGAACATTTTTCAATCAGAAATTTAGTAGGAAAATAGTGATTCTTTTGTGGTGTTAATATCCTATATTTTTATTTTGAAATTTTATTTGTAGGTGGCAAAATTGCAACCAAAAGATGCAATTCAGTACCAAAGAGAGAGGCCTTGGTACGTTTGTAATTAAAAAACATTCATTTCGGTTGTTTCCTTTTCATATAGGATATATATATTAACATATGGTAGGAGGTGTTAGTTTCATAATTGTTTGTTTCCGGAAAGATAGAAGCAGATAAAGTAGAAATTCTTTTTGTTAGGCTTAAATGAGTACCTCCCGACTCGAATAAATGTAATATTGTATTATGGTAATAATCCTCCCCAAACTCTACTAGTGGGTATACTGCTTTGCTACTCTTTTGTAATGATGCATATTAAGCACTATTAATATATTATCATGTTTTACCAAATAAAAAAATGATTAATAATTAATACTGTCAGAGTTTATTTGCATGCAATTATATACCTTATAAGTGACCTAACCAACACATATCATCTACTACTTATTTTTAGATTAAATTACATACTTAATTATGATTTAATACACTAGTAACATTTTTATTATGTATACACTGAGGGGTCGTTTGGTGTGAGGGATAGAAATAAATAGTGATAGGATAAGAAAACGGTAATGGGATAAAGTTTTTGTATCTTGTTTGGTTGCCATGTTTGGGATAACTTATCCCACCATTTATATTATAGTGATGGAATAAGTTATCCCATATATATGGTGGGATAAGTTATTCCAAGATAGCTAACCCCATGATAACTTATCCTGGAATAACTTGTTCCCAACCAAACGACCCCTTGACGGTATAAAAAATCTTTACATGATCAATGAATTTTAACTTGTGTTGCAAATTAGTTACATTTTTACATGATAACAAATTAACACTTATCATGAAATTTACTTGTCAATATTATACGATAAATGACTTGATTGTGTAAATATTTTCTTGCGTCCGTCAATGCGTATAACTTAATCTCTTTTATTACTATGGAATTTTCATAGGCAAATACTGGTGGAGAACAAATTCTGAGCAGACGTCCACTCTCACAGTCTGGAGGCAAAGATAATGCTGAATATGTTGCATTTACAGCAGATTATAAATCACCTAGGCATCACCCACCAAGGCACAACTAGACAACTTTACCAGAAAATCGCGAATTTTCGATATACATTTTGTTAGAATTTGACTTGTCGATAAGGGTTATATTATCGACCTATCAAATTTTGACGAAATTTCGTTGGAAATTAGTGATTTTTAGTGCAATGAGAAGTACCAATTAAAGATCTATAGTTTAACTACTTTTGCAATGCATTTATCTTAGTGTTCTCTTTACTTTATATATTTCATTTGTAACTTTTTGATACTTTATATGAATGTCAATTAAGTATCGTAAGTAAATTGTTTCCGGTTGTCAATCAATTGATAATCAAAGTCATTATTTGATAATTAATCACTACGAGTCAGATTCAATAGAATTTGATCAATCCTATTTTATGTTGTTAAGGTGGAGAACTGAACCAATAATTCTCTTTTTTCATTGTCAATCGAATCACTGTTCGCGATCCATGATTCTATTTTCTCATCAATTCAATCCCATGAATTGAGTCGTGGAAGTAACTACTAATGTTTGAATACGAATAGGCTATTTGTATCACCTTACCCTTTCATAAATTCTATTTATGTGAGATGCTTTGTAAGTCGAACTGTCTTTTTATATAATAAAGTCTGTGTTATTTTAAAATCTTGTCCTTTATGTTGATTCAAACTCTTTTAGACTGAGTTACTCCAACTCTCTAAAAATGTTGCTGCACACATGTCGGATCCTTCAAAAATATACATTGTTTTTGGAGGATCCGAGACACGCACCCATCGACATTTTTGAAGAGTCTGAGCAACATAGCTTTTAGATATAGTAGATGTAAAAGTTATTTTCATTGCATGTCGTGTTCAGTTAAAGTACATCACATAAGATGAGACAGAAGTAACAAGTACATGAGTGATTCAAGACTTGAGACCAAACTGCAATACCAATTTTGCTTTGCATATATGTCTGGATAATGCATACTTTCCTCGAACCCTCATTTGATATTGTACATGAACTTGTGTCTCGTGGTACAAGTTGTTACTTCTTTGGTAGCCAAATCACATAGCACTCGCGAATAGAAGGAGGTCACGCACACCATAAACACCCTCTTCTTCATATGAAGCGCCTTGTGACGTCTTCCCAACAAACAGAAAGTGTCAAGCAGATGATATCTACAACAAGTTCAAGGTTCTTCTTTCATCTGGCCTGATGGCAAAGAACCTTCACGAATATGGAGGGATGCACTCGTGCAGAGACCCATCTCGACAACATTATGTAGCTCATCGATCATCCCATATATTAGGTAACTGAACACAATTAGTAGTAAGTCAACAAACATTCACAATTCACTACATGAAATGAATAATATTCAGAATGCAGAGCTACCTGTGATGAAGACTCTTTGTAGCCACCACTCATAACAGCTAAATAGGGATAGATAGATTTAAGAAATGCATCGGTGGAGATTCCCGAACCAGGAAGACCTGACTGAAGCAGGCCTGGTTGCAGTTGATGTGAGGACTGATACGGCAGTGTAAGATCAGGAGCGAAAGCAAGTGAGGATGAAGGATCCGCTCGTAAAAGCAAAATCTGCAAGAAGAATTCAAGAATGTTATTGTTCTTTAGAAACTAGAAACTATGCACCATGTTCTGCTTCATGTTAACTCCCAGAAAAGTGCATTGGTTCTTACATCTTTCGCAAGGAGCGCATCAATATTAAAATCCAACCGCGGGTTTATAGTCGCAAGCTTCATTGAGAGGAACTGAGAGAACAAGAAGTCCAGTCATTCTCAAACATATATGCTGTAAACCTCTTTGATGCACATAATTTTGCAAGAAACAAGCACAAAAAAGAAAAATGCTGCCTTAAAGCACTTAGATTCGGCTATGCACGAGTTTGGGAAAGGGTCTATTACGCAGCCTACCCTGCATTTCTACAAGAGGCTGTTTCTACAGCTCGAACCCGTGAACTCCTGGTCTCATGACAACAATTTTAACAATTATCCCAAGGCTCCCAATAAAACTAATCAGATACTAGTGATTCATCATCTGAACCAACACAAAAATGGAGTAAAAAAAGTAAAGGAATAAGTTATTAGGAGTAAAGAGCATACCTCAACCTGTCTTTGAAGAGATTGTACATAATTAATGATTTCATCCAGCATTACTGCTTTCCCAGTGACCTGCGAAATCACCGGCTATCGCTCAGGATACATTAAAAACAGATACTTATTGTTATAATGGATGTTTTAGAAAAAAAAACAGTACAACAAAAGTAACCTTGTTGCAACCAGGTACAAGATCCTGAAGAAATTTCATCCGTTCGCTGATCTTCTCCCTCCTTAGCTGCATTAAAATAAAAGTAAGACATATCTGAAAGAACAACAACATGATAACTTCACTACAACTTGTTTAAGTTTCTTTTCTTGAAGTCTTACTCTTTCTGCAAGACTATGGCTATTTGTTGCCTGGCCTCTTCGAGCTCGGATATGTATGTAGTCTTCTTTAGGTGGATCCTCATTTTTTCCACCAGGCCTGCAGGCAATGGAATTCAGGTTTTGCTCTTTTGTCATTTCAGCTGGTTGTTGTTGTCCTCCATTCATTTGATCAAATTCTGTATCCTGACAAAATGATAAGAAACTTTAATAAACAAGAACTAGCAAAGAACAATATAAAATTTTAATACCTGATCACTTCTTTTCCTTTTCCTTGAGCCAAGGCACCTAGCAGAAGAATCCCCACCCTCCACTTCTTCTTGATGTCCACTACATTCAGACTCATTTTCAGAGATGCCAACACATTCCTTTGCTTCATCCTGAGACTTAGCAAAGTTAACATTTTTCTCATTCTTGAAGGGGCTTCTATCTGTGTGTTCATATTCAAGAGGTAAAGAAACATCCTGATCAGAACTTTCAACTGCATTTCTCATCTGTTGCTTTTGACTGATTGCAGTAGAAGGTGACTGTAATCCGTTACTAGCGAATACCTCTTGTGATTCTCCGAAGGTCAGTCCGTTGTGATACGTATCAGAAGAATTAGGGATAGCAAAAGGGTTCATCATATCACCAACTATTCCTCCACTGAAGCATGAAAATCTTGTAGCTCTCTCAATAAAACCTGAATCAGCTGACAATTGAGTTAAGCTTTGAGGAACCATACCAGTAGTAGGCGATATAAACGCGCCTCCTTTCGACATCACATTTGGTTGAGTCCAACCCATAGCAACCATTCTATTGACACTAGCTCCCAGAGGATCCAAGCCAATTGCAGCACCAGGATTCATTTGAATATTTGTACCACAGAAGCCTAAGTTTGATGAACTAATAGGATTACCCCAAACACTAGCACAGAACGAATCGATAATTCGGTTAGATGCATTTGTCAGATTACTGTCACTTAATTGCCAATCTGAGAACATATTTTCTGGATCAACATCATCCTTGCTAACAATATCCATTGTTTCAAAGTCTAGCAAATCCACCAAACTCAAAAAAAAAGAGAGTCTCCCCTTCACCACAGATACAAAAGTTTAGCTACTTCACAACATACTCATTGTTCTGTATTTGACAATCTTCATTCAAACATGTTAAAGCAACTTTAGATCATATTCTCAAAATTTCTAGTTCAACAAGATAAGAAACAATACAGAAAACTCCAAAGCATGCAAGAAAACAGTGGAAATTGAAAATTGAAGAAATAAGTACTCCATAATCAAGAACTCAAAATATATTGAAACTATTATCATAACAGAGAAACCCCACAACCCCAAACAACATTATTATCCAAGAAAACATATTCCAAGTTCAATAAATGTTCATTTTAAATCCCTAGTCAGAAGGGAAACAGACACACATATCTAAGCTTAGCTCTGAAACAGAAAAAGACATGACTAAAATTGGGAAAAAAAAAAGAAATTTCAGATTATGTGCTACTTTTGGAACTCTGTACACCAATTTTCTTTATGAATTTGCTAATGTCCAAACTGTTATAAACAGAGAAGAAAACAGTAGAGATATAAATAACTCTGCTTAGCAAAACACAATCAATGACTTCAGTAGAAGTAAAAATAGGTAGTAGTAGTATTTATTTTTGAGAAAAAGGAGAGCTTGGACCTTAATAATCTTTGATAAAAAGCGTTTTTCCTATAGATACCTATGCAATAGTCGAACTTCAATATAAATGTTTTTAGATAGCAATCTTGATTAATTCAACTTGAAAACATTTGGAAAATTATAGTAAAAAGATGGGAGTATGTTGTAAGGTCATTTTAAAGTTGATTCTTTTGAGCCAGGCAACTGACATTGCCAACTCTTGCCAGACACTATTTTCATCAATTGATATAATTGCTCTGCCTATTCTTTATGTCTTGAGATAAGAGCTTTAGTTACATAATCTTAATTTGATTTGTTTGGTCAATTGACAACTACTTTTATTAGCTTGTTTTATCTTACTTTTATGACAACTTGGGTTGCTATTGCAGGCTACCTACATGTACCAACTTTAGGTCTTTGCATCTTGTTTTGATAACTTTCCTAGCTTATATAGATCCAGGCCTAAATATATATATAGAAGTTTGTGTAAGCACTAGTTCATATATATTACTCTCTCCGTTTCACAAAGAGTGACCTGGTTTGACTTGACACAAAATTTTAGAAAATAAAGAAGATTTTTGAATCTTGTGGTCCTAAATTAAAGTTATGTCAAATGTACTAAATTGCCCTTCAATCTTGTGGCTTTAAACATGCCACGTGGAAAGCTGAAATTAAAATGTTACCAAAAAAGGAAAGAGGTCATTCTCTTTTAAACAGACTAAAAAGGAAAGGAGGTCGTTCTTTTTGAAACGGAGGGAGTACTATTATTATCTAAATTTATACTATGTATGTGTATTAATATATTTGAAATTGTTAATTATTGTGATTTATAATTCATTTTACAAAATTAAAAGAAATCTTAAAATTGCTTTTTCAAATCTTTAAAGAATTTGCCTCACCTTATAGTTTAGAGTAACGTAAAATAAACATAATTTAGTGTGAAACTAATAATAAAAATACAGAAAAAGGTAAAAGATGTCCTTATATCATGTGAAATTGAACAAAAATGTACTCAGTTAATAGTTTGGTCTAAATATGTCTCTACTGTATATAGTTTGGTTAAATGTAAGTTCTACATAGTAATTGTTAGATTGACTTTGTTATATGGGACGGAGTGTTGGTCTTTCAACAACTCTCATGTTCAGAAGATGCAAGTTGTGGAAATGAGGATAGTGAGATAGATAAGAGGAAATACTAGAAGCTAGCAATAAGATCAAGAATAAGGATATCCGAGCTAGCAAAGGTAAAAGTGGCCTCCGCTATGGACAAGATAAGGGATGCGAGGACTAGACGGTTTGAGCAGGTGAAGAGGAGTTGTATAGATGCTCTAGTGAGTAGGTGCAAAAGGTTGCATATAGTGGGTACAATGAGAGGCAGAGGTAAGTTGAAAAAGTATAGAAGAGAGGTGATTAGATAACATAGCGCAACTTCAGCTTACCCAAGGCACTTAGATAGAAGGATATGGAGCGCACGTATTAGAGTAGAAGGTTAGCCAGTAGTGAATTGTCGTCCTGCTTCCTCATAGGTTTAGGCTTGGTGGTGTCTGTCGTAGTATTAACTTTATTCTTGTAGTGTTTTGCTTTTGGTTTCTATCACCATTTGGTATTTGTCATATTTCCATCATTGCACTATTTTGTTATTGTTACTATTTCCGTATTAGTGTATTTTCTTTACTGTCGTTTTCTCTTTTTATACCTACTTTGACTTATTGTATATTATTCGAGCCATGGATTCTCTGTAATCAAAACGTCTCTACCTTTACAAGATATAACTAAGTTTTACGTACATTTTATCCTTCCCAAATTCACGGTGGAACTTAGTAGAAGATAAGTTACTTATAGCTAAAATTTCTATACATAGCAAGACATGATATGGTGATACTCTCACTAATTCTTATTATAGACTTGACAATGGCATGCAGTAAGTGCAGGTCAGACGCAACATCAATCAATAGTGGTTTTTGGCCAAATTTGATGCACATTCATAATGCTTCTCATCTCTTTTTCTTGGTTGCCACATCCAAACTATTTGGTATCTGGCTAGCTATATGAAATTTATTGACTCGACTAATATAAATTTATATCATATAAGATTCATTTTAAAAGAAATTGTTCTGTCTCAAAGGTTCTTCATTTTAAAAGTTCAAATTTTGAAATTTTTAATTAAAGATGTAAGAAACATGTTTCAACCCGTCACATTCTCTTGATGATGGCTCATTGTCTTTTTATTACTTATCATCTTCATATTATACTCAAAGTTGATAGCTCGAATTAATGAGCTTAATAAGGTGTACAAAATAAAAACGACAACGATATATATGTTGGCAACTAATATTCGTTGATGAAGGGGTTACATTATTTTAATTGTGTATTATATTCATTGCTTAATACACTGTTGTCCTTCTTGACACAGAAAACAAAAATACAAACAACTCTTTTCAACAACGACGTTCAAATATGTTTGATTCTATAATATAACATCTTTACTATATTGTGTGACTTAATGTTGGAATGTATGCCTCCACTATCAGTCAATGGATCAGGTCCCTTGACACAACAAGAACAACGATAATAAGTAAATGCAATAATGTAAACAACATCAGCAGTTTACGTGAAAAAACCCTTGCTCAAGGGCGGTAAAAACTACGACCTGTACTCACAAGATTTCAACCCAAACTCCATTTCACTCAAACGGAGCAACGATTCAGATTACAAACTCTTGCAACCTAGGAATTTAACTCTAAATCCCTTCCCTCTCAATGCAGCAACTCTACTACAAAGAAAGCAACTAAGCAATAAATCTATTGCCCACTAAGCTACCTAACTCTAGATAACTTAGACTTCAACTAAGCAGATACAACACTGTCCACTAAAACACATAACTCTTAGATGATTTAGAATGAAACTAAGCAGATACAACACTGCCCACTAAATCAGTTAACCCTAACTGACTTAGACTTTAACTAAGCAACAACTCTGTTACCCACTAAATCACCTAACTCTAAATGACTTAGAGTTTGACTAAGCAACAACAATGTTGCCCACTAAATCAATCAACACTTAACTAATTTAGACTTTTCTTCATAAACGGAACAATGATCTAATTCCTTTATAACATAGGAATAGATTTACAAGATAAGCACTGAAGTATACACCCTAAGACAACTAAGACACAAGAAGCTCTATCAGGTCCCTGTTGCTCTTGAGGAGTGTTCTTCCTTGAAGATGGTCTTTTCTTTTGAGTTTATGAATTTTCAGAAATTCACAATTTTGTTTGCCAAATCTTGAGTTTGTGTTTTGGAGAAGAGACTATATCAAAATGGACAGATGCCCTTGGGACGAGGCCATTGGCTGAGAGCCTGTTGTTATGAAAAGCTGTGCACCAACCACATCAAAGTTGGCAGCTTTTTGACAACTGTCTTTTCGTCCGTTTCACGTATGCAGATTTTTCGGGACCAAGCCCCTTGCTGTGTTCTTTGATGTTTGAGTTCTTGAAAAAGACTTGCTAGTTCTCTCTTTTTGAATGAATAATGTTTTTTTTTATTGTTGTATATATATCAGTTACCAACAAGGGTTTTGACCACTTAAACAAACAACTTCGTCCGCCCTTCCTATTGGTGAAGTACGTTGCACATCTCACCAACAAACCTGACAAGACAATTGTAAAGATAGCTTTATAGTTGTGCACCACTTTGAATCTGGACAGAAGTACTCTGCCAAGGACTGGGTCCCTGCATTTGTGAGGATTATCAAAATACTAGAATATAACATTTTCCCCCTTTTTGATCAAGACACACAAATATTCCTCATGCTGAGTTTATTCATTCATTTCCCCTTTCGTCAGTCCCAACACCAGAAGACCCTTTCCTAGATCTGGTCCCTTGTTAGATCCCTAAGTTTGTTAAATCATCAAAACTTAACATCAACTCCAAAGTAACACTTAATTTCTAAGCATATTAGTCTATTGAAATCTCATTATTTAGTCATTTCAATCTGTGTTTCTAACAAATTCAACTGTACCAATTTAAGGATAATTTGGCACCCATTGTAGGGCTGGACCAATCAAAAATTAAGGTCCAATATATATATATATATATATATATTTACATAATTAAGAAGGTTTTCATTATTATTATTTTTCAAATTTACCCTTATTTAAATAAGTGATTTTTACGTAACTAAAAAGGTGCTATTTAATTTAGGAAATTAGGATAATTTAGTCAATCACTTTTTACTTTTTATGAATGATAGTAAATTTCCTTAAAGGGTGTGTTCAAGTTAAAGCACCATATAGTATAGATGGGAAAGTGTATAATTCAAACATTTAATGCAAATTGATTTCCAAATATATTTCAATTACTTATTATTAATGCATGCATATCTTCAATTTTAATTATTTAAAGGTTTCAGAAAAAGAAAAACACACGACAATATGAACAGATTTATTAGAGGCATTAATTTAAGATATTTGACATAATTGATTTTGAATTTGAGATGGTCAAATTGACCTTTTTATAGAAAAAAAATATTGAATGGAAGATTTTGGAAGAAAATGTAATAATAATTATTAGCCAATATAAAATATTTACTTAATTATTGCTATAAATCAGCTATTAATTACAATCACCTCCATAATTCATAACAAATTATAAGTTTATACAACAAATCATCATGGAAAAAGCTTCAATAAAATTGCTCTTCTTAGTCACTTTCTGGCTTGTTGCAACTGGTTTGTTCTCACTTCTTTCAAACAATAGAAATAAAATTATCTTTTATGTGCTATATGTTGTTAAATTCACTCCTTTTTTGTTACATTATTTGTTACATGATATATGATTATAGTATTATTTGATTGTCGTACTATTCCTCTATTATACTACTGTCTCTCGTACTTTCATTACGTCTTTTTCTATTAGTATGTTTTTGTCATCAGAAACAACCTCTCTACCTCATTACTAAGAAAGAGGGAGGATATATATACGTACGCTCTATCCTCTCTAGACTTTATTCTTTGGGAATACACACCGGATATGTTGGTCCTTGGTTGAAACAATTTTTTGTAAATTATTTTTAATTTCTTGCATTTGAAAAAGTAGTAATTAATTAATTTGATATATTTTATGCAGGATGTAATTTTATGGGTGGATTAGTAGAGGCAAGAAGTTCAACTCAAGGACCACCATCATG